AAAATTAAAAATATTTCCAAATTTAGTCATCACGAATGACAACTAGAAGACAGTTCGAAAACATGGGGGTAAGCGCTGGAAAGATCGCAATAAACAAATTTTCCAAATATACATACTCCAAAATAACTGAAAACGCCACAAAGATCATTTTCCTATAACGTTTGTATCATATTACTCAGAAGTGTGGATCCGAATCTACTTCTTGGACAGAATTTGTCTTTAGTGTCCGGCATCCTCGACGTTACTCATTTTTGGTTTGTGAAGTTCTTCTATGTCAATCCTAAAATAATTTGGCCCGGCTTAGGAAAAAAGGCGTGTAGGCTTCTAGTTCTGGTGAAGCGAACTTCCGAACATGTCATTTTCCGGTATGACCGCTGCCAAGGGTGTAGGCGTGAGGGTGATGTCGTTGAGAATTCGAGGAACTTCAGAAGGTTAACGTCATGTGCAAACGAAGTTTTCGTGGAAATCTGACTTCACTTCAAGCATGGCTCTGACGAGGTTTACCTTCTGGGTAGAAATGGGAGTAGGGATTTGGAGAGGGAAGGGGGGTCATTGTGTACCAGAGGTTGTAACTTTGCCTAGATAAATGTATGAATGAGAAAATGGTCTTCGATTAAAAAATATGCTGGCCAAAACGACTATTGGGTTGATGCAAGGTCTTGGGTCTGCCAGAAGCACTTTTGAATTCTTTTACATCTTTATTTAATCTTTTGCCCACTGAATTTCACAATCACCATTATTGTATCATTCATCCAGCGAGGGGCAAATCGTCAGGTTTCTACTCCCAAAAATAAAAGGATTGTGAGTCGAAAAAGTTAGCCATACCTTTTTTGAAGTCTCCAAAAGTGACAAGTTTTTTTTTTTGACGAGAAAGTCCTGAGGTGTCTGAAAAAATGTAAGTGAGAAGGGGCGAGGTCAGGATAGGGAAGATTGGGAACGGTGCCCCAGCCCAGTAACCTGAACCGTAAGATCTTTGCGATGTGAGGACGAGCGGTATTTTGCAGGAGCTCGAAGGACTTTCTTCTTGTTCGCTTTTTGTCGATTGACCGAGTACCTGGAGCTGACTTTAGAACTGACTGCTTTCATGGTCCACCATTTGGCCCGCGACCGATCGCGCGACTGGTCGCAGCGACCGATCGCGGGCCAAATCGTGGACTATGAAAGCAGCCACTGCTGTATATGGTAGCTATGACTGTCTTGCATTGAGACAGCAACTCGTGCTTTGACACAACCTTCGAGATTTTGAAACAGCACCGCAAAGTATTTTTCAGGCACTGTTCTGACATAAGAGAAACAAGAAGGTTTCTGTAAGTCTTCTAGAAGTAGAAGCGGATCTCCTCCTAGAATACATACAGCGACCTTTTTGTTATTGTCATAAAGGATCCAGCTCTCATCTCTCGTAATTAAATTCTGCAGAAACTCTTTCCGATTGAGGTGAACAGGGTAACTGGCTGGTATGTTGTAGGTCATTTGTCAGTCGGTGCAGAATCATCGAACAACAACCTCCCTGTAGTGTGCTGGTGAAGGTTTCTCATGCACTGATCGCACTAGTGATTTTTCGCCAGTTCCGTGCTCGTAGTTTCCTCTTTACTTCGCTGGAAAGTCGGTCATCACCGACACCAACTGATCGTTTGAACGACGATCGTAATAGAGCGTCGTACCTTCAGCATGAAAGCAAACAAAGAACTATGGTCGTTGTTTAACAGTACTGTTGAAGTCAGCGGAACAAACTGTGGAGCCGCGCCGTATTTGTAGAAGTATAACTACAAATAGCCCAAGGGCGGTTCGTTACAAGAGGAGCGTTCGGGAACCTATTCAAATATTACTGGTGATAATTCTGAGATTGTGCCAGAATGTGGTAATGATCCGGGGCGGAAACGTTTCCTATGGAAAAACGACGATACATTAGTATTTGTATCTCAAGAATGATGCATCACTTTTGTTTCTTCCTGCTCAGTGGGACCTTAAAGTTGATGAGAATTGTGAAAAAGGAAAAGGGAGTCTGAAAATTGAAATACTAGGCCAAACCAAATAGTGCTCAATGAAGTTCGGAATAGTTCTGTTTATCTTTTTTGCTGTTATTTCTAAAGGGCAAGAGCAGTGCTCCGGTTGTCCTTCACTTTATAGCTGCGAGGGAGACGAAATACTGTAGTTTGCGGTTATTGTGCATCAGTTATATTTAAGTCGTTGTTGTTAAGGTTCTGTACAGGAAAGTGAAAATATATAAGTACGGAAAAGTGAGCATTACACGGAAGAAGTAGGTGCACTGTAGCCATATCAACTAACTATATGTATGGACGGGGTTGGATTCAAACTGAACTTATAGGTGTCTAGGCCGGGTCATATTGCCCAGAGACATTTTAACTGTATTCATCCTTCCTTTTTTCATCATCTCCTTCCCTTTTACACTTTTAAAGTTGTACCTTTCCTGAAGCTCTCACCTTCTTTCTCTGATGCTGAGGAAGGCGAGACTGATTTCAACTTCGTATTACGAAAATCAAATATAGATTCTGCGCACTCTAGTAAAAATGGTTGTGAAATTGGCAGGGAGGTCTTCAGCAGCTGCTGAAGACCTCACTGCCAATTTTTGGTTGAGACTCGGTTGTGAAATTGATAGGCTGAGTTCAAGTAGTTTTATTCCAGGCAATGGAAGAGAAGAAGCGGCGTATATCGGCTCGTTTCATGGGTTTCTTCAATAAGGTGGAAAAGAAAAAACCAGAAGTAGTGGACCATGCGGAGAACGATCTCTGGTATTTGCCTTTTGAGGTAATTATTAATCTCAATTTTCCGAGTAAAACTATTTCATTTTGAAGTGAGAGAAAAAAGTTTCGAAGACAGTAAAGGAATTTGTATACCATCAGGTTATTGTACCGAAATTTTCAATGAGGAATGAATAGCAGAGCTTTAGATTAAAGATGGTATGACGCTGGCTCCTATCCAGAGACGAAGTGTCCTACAACTGAAAGACAATATTCTGGTACAACAACCTGAGGTAAGGTTTTTTTCTAGGCAATTACATAGGTGGCGTCAAAGTGTGATTGAATTGGTTGATTGATTGGTTTTCCCATTGACGTAATTGTTTTAAATGCTTCTCAAGGGGCAGTAAATAGGGTGAGCGAATGGCTGAAGCTCCGCTAACGCTCCAGCATGTTTTTATTTTTCTTTCTTTCAAACAGCTGCATACTTTGTCGAGTACCCACATCAGTTTGATTAAATGGGGCTGGTTAAGGTAATGCAAACGTCGTATTTGTCTTCGCTGTCAACAAATCCGAGGAAACTGGTCGGTATGCCGAGAAAGTGGGTCTTTTTTTTNTTTTTTTTCAAGATCTTTTATTATTATTACGTTGTTGTGTAGAAGTAAGGGAGAATTCAGATTTGTATTATCGGTTGCTGGGTTCGGCTTACTTATTATATTACTGGTTTCCACTAGGGTTGTGCCTCGTTCGTATGCTTACAGTTTGCCTTTCGCTGTTCTTTTCAATTCCTTTTCTTCACTTTTTTTTTTGCAAGTAGGTTAGTCGAAAGTCTGTTCTTTCTTTACATGAATTGCTGACTGGATCGGATTTTTAAGTCATGTCAAAACGGACAGTTGCTTCGTGTGACTTGAAAACCACTGGGCTTGTCTTTATTTTTGGATATGAGGGGTGGTTGACGATGAATATGAATGAAGTCCTGCTAATCTCACCAAGGAGTAGCTTCTCCTATGAAAGCTGAATTTACAACCCAAATTCTTTCTTGACTCACATTTTCAAATCATTCCTCCATGCTATACCATCCATCCGTTAAACTTATAACATCAGATACACGATCCTTTTTTTACCCGTAATATGTGCATTCATTTCTCCATATAGACGAGCGATTTGTTGCGAACAAGCGCAAGGTAAGGCTCAATAGAGAGGTTGTAGTTCAGAGAAAATATGGGTCTGAAGGGCCATCAAAAACATCTACGCCTTGACTTGAACTGTTTCCAACTCAGTGAGGTGCTTCCACTGATATGCTTTCTCATCGTTCTTGATTACGATTTGAGTGTAGCGAGTTTTAAGCTATTCTTAATAAGGGCTATATTCTAAATAGTCCTTAACTCGAATTTCCGAAAGCTTTAATTCTACAAGAAAGCTCACGTTCAATAAACTTATGACTAAATATGTTTAAAAATAAAATAGGTTGTTGGTTAGCTATTCTTCAAGGAGATTTTATTACACCTTGACTTTTGCAGCCCAATGAGAGCGAAACTGTTCCAATTTCACGACAACTATCGTCCACCATACTATGGGACGTGGCGAACGCGGAGTACTATGATTACGGGACGTCGTCCGTTTACTACGAAAGAGGAGAACATTGACTATGAAGTAAGCTCTTTCTTTCGTTACTAGACAGTAAGTCATCGCTAGGACTAATTCTAGTTTTATTAATTGTAATGGTTGTACACGTTCTGAATTTGTCCATCAATTGAATGTCGTTGTTTAGGTGGACTCTGACGCTGAGTGGGAAGAGGAACCATCAGACGCTGAGGAGTGCAAGTCGGATGAAGAGGTAGTACTTTTTTCCCTTTTTACAACATTTTTTCTACTTTGATGACTCCTATGATGCTATAGTAGGGGAGCAAGCGTTAGCAGTGTACTGTGGTTCCCATTTATTCCCTTTGACGGTTGGGTAGTTTTTTTATGGAAGAGCAGAATCTGTCATATGGAATCATTTTTTTGCCCACTAGGCTACTTTTGTAAAATTTTATTTCCTGATTCCTGGAAATTCCTAAATCGTATCGCCTTCAAACCGTAACGCTGTGCTATTATAGCGGACCTATTCAATTCTATTTCAATGAGTGCTTTATAATGATACAGCTTTCATGACAATTTACTCTTTTTTACTCTACCTCGTTATACTTAGCAGTTCATTAAAATTCAAATGACAAATGATGTCATAGGCATCATTATCACGCAATTTCTCAGTACTGCATTGTTCCTTTTCATGCATTTACTATTTTGGACATCAAACTGAATGTGATGGGAGGGAAATGGGAACTGCCAGAGTTGTTCTATGTGAAATGAACAGTAATTTAGTGTTAATTTCCGGCACAAAATCCCCTACATCATTTTGTACTTTTACTTTCTTTTACCTTTTAGTAGATAATACAAAGGTCTTTCACCAATGATATCAGAAAGAGAAAGTTAACGCCATTGTATTAGATTGTACAATGGCATGATATTTCGAAAATTTTCTTGAATGGGCTCTCAAGTCAGAAAAAGCCACTCTCCATTTTGTTCGAATTATTCTTAAAATTCAAAAGTACNGATAACGCATCAAAAGAGTCAGCAAAGTAAATCGGGGTTTTCCGGTTGGGGACACGGATTGATTCTAAAAATTGAAAGTTTCTGGATGAAAGGGTAATTTTTAGGAATACCGTCTAATCCATCGTTTTTTATGGCTCATTTCAGGATGACGCTGGCGGTGATTCGGACGTGGACTCAGATCATGAGGCGTTCTTCGTGGAACCCGGTTACCTATCCGATGGTGAAGGTGACGAGGGTGACGACGATTGCGACGAGGGCCAGACGGCAGAGCTGAACGAGGCACTGCACCACCACGACGCAAAGGACGAAGAGGAGCGCCGCGCGCGTCTCGCGGCGCGTGCTCGCGAATGGAAGACTCGGGTGCTGGGCCGTAAGCAACCGACCGTGTTGGTGCCGCGGTGCGTGGGCCCCATCTACTGTGCCGCGCCACAACCGCTCGCCGCACTGCGAGTTGTGCTCTTCTGAAGAGCTGCCTTCACGACGATCTTCGGCAAGCACGAAGACGATCGTCGCGACGAAGTCGACCACCGCCGCCGACTGCCGCCGCCAGCCAGCTCGCGCGCGCGACACCTACTAGTGGCTGCTGCTGTCGTCGTGTCTGCTCCTCCATCTGTCCGCCTGTGAGGGTCAACCCCGCCACTCGCCGCTGTGAATTCTCTTTCTCGTCGAACAGCAGCAGCAGCTTTTGGTGGTGGTAGTGGTGGTGGTGGTACTGCTGAGTAGTACCGTAACACGTACTGCTTGGTCTCGTCGCCGCCCCCCGTCCGTTGTGTTTCATCGCGCGGGACGGTGGCGGCATGCGACAGCACTCCATGTCTAGTGTCAGGAAATTAAATGAGGTCTGCTTTTACCTTTCTTCATTTTTCCTGGTCTTTTTTTAATTTGATTACTTTGAAATCCTCCAATTTTCCTCCAATTGCTTCTAATTTCTGTTAATTTTCATGCCCGGGTTCAGTAATATGCACATCTTACTGTCTCAACAAAAGGAAATTTATTCATTCATTTATTGTCGTTGAAAAGGTTGTTTTATGTGCAAATAAGCAGTCACTGTAAATAGATACACAACTAGTTTATTGACTTTTAATACCTGCTTTTTTCGTGAATTTTGTAGCCGAAGGTCTTCCATTTTATAACAGCATTTTCAACTGACTGGTTCCATTCTGTGTGATAGTAGACAGTTTTTTTTTCTGATCCAATTCGTCAAGTGCTCGATCCGTCTTGTTGGCGTTTTTACTCATGGTTTTCCGATTTCAAGAAGTTTTCATTTTCATTTAAATTAACACTTTCCAATAGGAAATTTGGAGTTGGTGGATTGCCATGTTGAATATCAACGATCCAAATGGTTACTAGATGTGAATTGTAGTTTCTATTTGTGTGGGTTATGCGTACGATTAAAGATAACCATGGGAATCACCCTGTGAGGTCCCTGTTTGGGACTGATTAGCTATATGCTATTGTATACCTCGATTTATGATAATTTACCAGTATGATCGTTTTTATTAGTTTATTTCTCTATCAATTAAGTCGAAACGGATAACTATAGTGTGTGCATTTTCTGTCTGTGCGTGTGTATGTGTGCGTGTTTCGAGAGGGAGGAGGCTAGAGGGTGAGGGGTGGATCGATTGCGGCCGCCGTGGCTGGCTGGGTAGCTGCTGTGTGTTGGCCGTCCGGCTGGTTGGCTCCACCTCGGTGTGGTCGCAGTAGCAGCAGCAACAGCAGCCCTCTTTCCTCCCCCGGGCAGCCAGCATCCCCCTCTCGTCGACTGACACAATCAGAGGCTTTTGTGATGGCTGTCCGAGGAAGGAGTTCCGTTTGGGCAACAGTGAAGTCAGGGTCAGAGGGTTCGTGGTAGGGAGAAGGAGGGAATGAAGAAGAGATGAAAGTTGAAGCGAAGGAATGGCCTGAAGGCATGGAAGGGCAGTGGCTGAAGGGTAAGGGGTGGAGATTTTGTAGTTAGAGCAGTAATGAACTTCAGAGGTCACAGGCGATGAACCATAACCCACTTGTGCAGTCAAACTTCTATTCCTACCTGAAGCGGTTGGAGACACTTTGAGCACCGTCTGGCTCTTAAAGGCCACCCTATCCATAGCATTTGTGCATTTTCAAATACTCCATCGATTTCAAGTATGAGTGCAGTATGAAAAAGGCAGAGTTTGGTGCTGACTTTTATGTCGTACTATCCTCTATTTCAGTAGATAGGCGGCCATTGAAAGTGCGAATTAATGCGGGTCCACCCAGGTGAGCGTGATGATTATTGATTGTCAGGTGAGTTGATGTATGTTAGTTGGTTGCAAAGAGTTACAGTAATGCACTTACGAATTCGTTGCGAATGAAGGCCATGTATGTTCCGGACGAGATTTTCATTTCCACCAGCGTACATTTTACTTGACCCGTAGGTAGGCCGTAAAGAAAGACTTCCTCGGCTCTATATTTCTGGGGATAAAGATTCTTTACGTAGAAATCTTGTTACCATTAGACTAGGGGGATAGATTCATTCGCTCGTTCTCCTCGAGACCCTGTAACGGGCTGCGGTAATCTTAAGGAGTGTTAAATATTAAGGTTCTTTTGCGATTTCGTCCTTTGTGCTTATTTGTGAGGGTGTGAGTGGAATTCGGCAACAATCGGCTTCAAGAAAAAAA